TGGGAGCAACCTTCATCAAGAGGCCTACAAATTTTCTTGACGTTGCTGGATCAGTAGGGTGCTCCGCACCTACTGATCCTGTCCGTTTTTTGACGGTCCATCCCGTTGTTGCGTCTTTGCACCAACTGCGGACCCTCGTCCCTGCCCCTTTCTCATGGGTGGACGGTCACTACGCCCAGTGTCGCGAGACACTGGACGAGGGGCACTACACTCGTAAGCGTAGTGTCCTGTCTTCTGACATCTGTTGCATCTCTGCAACTTCTTGTAGCCTGTAGAGCGAACCTTCTCGCTCTCTACATAACAGAGTTCCATCGGCTCTGGACCTCCGTTGTCATATCGTCTCGGTTGACGATATGATGTCGAGCTGGCGCGAGCCTGTCTCAGACTGAAGTCTTCCTGCTCCGCAATTGAAATGGCTTGTTCTAGTGAATCTAGTTCAAGCCGGAACAGGTGAGTCTTGACGGGACCATCCGCAAGACCCTGCATGAACACCGAAACCAACGTGTGTTCATCCACCGGATTGGAACTTATACAACTCGTGAGATGTCGTATATGTTGAGCGTAAGCGTGCACATCACGCTTACCCTGCTTGAGCTTCAAGAGTTCGGTTCGAGCTCTGAACTCAGCTCTAGGCGGTTCAAACGTTTGTCTGAGCCGCGACTTGAAGACTTCCAACGACCCAAACGCATATGGGTCGTGCAACTTGAGCCCCAGTGCCCAAGTCTTGGCACGTCCTGCCAGATTTGACTGGGCAAATGCAACTTGCATATCCCCGTCGTCGATGCGACGCGCCCTTATGGCGTCATCCAATTCGACGAACCATCTCAAGAGGGAGTCTTCTTCGACCCCTCTATACTTTGAGATGTCAATCTTCAAAGTCTCGGGTCGACGCGAGTGCATCGACCCGCCAGCAGCAGCTTGCTGCTGTCTCAACAGTTCAAACTGTTGAGCACCTTGTTCTCTCAACAACTCTGCTTGTTGAGAACCTTGTTGGTGAAGCAAGGCTACTTTCTCGCGTTCTGCGTCAAGTTCATTTTGAATGAACTTGGCGATAGTAGCATGTTGGGCGTCTCTATTGAGAGCCTCTAGCATGACGCTAACAGCATGGATGCCCATGGTCGAACCCATTCGTTCAACCGCATCCCATTCGACATCGCTCAAATGGGAGTAGCCGTCACGCGTAGCGTGAAAGCTTTGGTCATCTTCATCATCCAACATATTCATGTTGGATGTGAACGCGGTCCTTGGACGGACTACGAAGTGCTACCAGGTGTAACGGGGCACCCTGAAGCTTGTACTGGTGACAGTACAAGCTACTTATTCTGATAACAGAATAAGGCGGTGCCTCGTAACTTCACGTACACTCGTACGTGCAGAGGAAGACGGTAAGAAGAAGCGAGTACTCGGTTAGAGTAAAAAGTAGAACTGTATTTATAATAGTTAATGTCTGCAATAAATCACTATTTATCTTCATCTAACTATGTCTAAATACAAATGTGTAAATCAGTTATCTGCTCACCACTCATTGCGTGCGTCTGTCGTGGCGCGTCTTCGTTGGTTGATATAATGGCCTATATCAACCAATTAGGAACTACTCGTAAGTGCTACAGAATATTGTCCTTATGACAATATTCTGAGGATATAACTCTTATAGTTATATTCTATTAACAATTTCTTATAAATGGTTATGTAACGATTCACCCCGTTACACCGACTGTTTAATTCCATATCATATCCTAAGCAGCTTAACTACCTTGCCCTCCTCGACGTCCATATCTCTTGGTGCCTTCTTAACGATAAGATCACGTAGAAAACCCTTTACGTAGGCATTTAACATGTTGTCATGAGTCAGTCGCTGTGCAATAAAGCTTGATAGTGCAACAATAGGCGCTATCTGCTCATTGTGATCGCTAGTACAAATGTCTCCGAGAAATTGTTGTCGTTCTTTAGGCTAAATCCTTACTTTTAATCACTCGACATCACCGTCGGCATCAAACTTTGAAATGCAAAACCCATCTGCTGTCGACGAAGTTTATACCTTTACATGACCTGTTGAAAATCGCTTCAGTGCATTTCGACCAGTTTATCCAGCCCTATCTTCATCGGATTGAAACAATTCTGTCTTTCAGGTAGAGCTATGACTTTACAACTAAAACTGGGCTCTTATACTCGTACAACCACCATTGCGGCATTGACAGCACATCGAGAAAGCAGTATGACGAGACGACGCTCACGTCGCTCTGCCAGCAATTAATGTTTATCAGTGTTTGTATCAACCCCAGATTTCTCGCAATTAGAAAGGATCAAGCCATCTTCACTTAAACTCAAATTTTTACCGTCGTCAGAGACATTGTAAAAGGGGGCATCATCTCCAGAACTTGAATTTTAATCGATAAACTTCTTGGCCGAGTTTGATAACTAGACGTGCTGAGACACTAAGATCTTTTTCGCTCGTTTGATGAACACGCGATGAAAATTAATATTAATAAACACGTCCAATAAATTCTCCGTGTTCACACTTCTTTCGCGAATTTATGTACTTACATAAAAAAAGTGTGACTTGTAATGGGTCACCCTTTGTTTTGGGTGCCACGAAACTTCACGTACACTAGTACGTGCAGAGGAAGCTAATCTACTCAAACAGCTAGTTTGAGTAAATGGTAAAAAGAGAACTGTATTTAGTATAGTGAAGCTATTAACACAGCTTTAATCTTAATCTAACTATTTTAGACTACGTCGTAGTATGACGACAACCTTCTGACCACTCATTGCGCGCGTCTAGCAGCGATTGGTTGTAATCTATGGTTGACATGTCTTTTATCAACTAATCTTGGAGTAGCGCATCTATTATAATTCTAAAAGGGGACAGTATGCCTTCTATATTATCCACCCCGAATACTATTGGTAGGATATTGTCACGCTAGACAATCTCCCTATTGACATTGTTTGGCGTCAGTTTCATGTAACAGGCTTCCCCGTTACATCACCCCCCCCCCCCTAACCATCAATCACCCGTTGAATGAATAAAAGTGATTGGGACAGGGTGACCACCGTTGGATCACTCTGGTAAGGGAAGAACTTGCTGGTCAAATTTCATTCATTCGCCAATTCATCTCATGGTGCCAAAGTCCATGCGATGTGCTGCCGAAGCAGAAAAATTGGCAGTTACACGCGTGCGTGCAGCCGAAGATATTTTTCTCTTGCTTCAGCAGCAGGTAATGCTTCACCTGCTGTTGTGACTCAGCCATAGGCGAAGCCTATTGTGACCATTCCACGTGGTAAGTCATTACGTGCGACACATACATCCGCTGCGTCTGCAGCGGGTACTGCAACCCGCAATGAAGATAAGCCTGGAATAAAGATCATCTATTCTGGCGATTAGGATGATGCATCCGAATCGAAGGCGACACCTAACCCTTTCGGTCTATCCGGGGCGGACACTACAAGAGTCAGGTTGACTGGCTCTGGGGAACGTGGCGGCATCATGTCCGAGATCTTTGGACCGAGCGATTCTTCTGACGTATCCTCGACTCACGCAAGCTCATCCAACGATAGGACGCGTGGCGATAGTGGTGATGCCCCTGTGCATCCAACCCGAGAGAAGCAACTCGATAGATCGAGCTGCTACTGGTGTCAGTGCTTGTGCCGACAACACATAAGAGGTCAGGGACCGAAATGTCCTGCGCCACGCTCCTCAAATGGAGTGTCCTTGGATGCCTTCATCCAAAGAGTTAAATTGAGTGGCCGGTATGACCACCAAACGGGATCAAATTCGTTAAACGACTGTAGGAGGATCTGCCCACCAAATTTACAGCACGGAAACTATGCATGCTGAGTAATAGTTCTTTACCGATGCGTTCTTCAAACATTAGTGGTACAATGGCAACTGTGGTCGAGACGGTAAGGCCTTGGTGCAAGGATGGAATGCCTTCATCTATAACATCGAGTGCATTGGCCACGAGACCTGGCTCGGTACACTTGATGCATCTTGCATCAGGTTTGAAAAGCGTAACCCAGTCGCTGTGCGATACAAGTTGCAACAATTGTCAAGAGATTCGGGAATTTTCTGTCTCTCGTAGGGTGATTGGTGTCCAGGTTGCCTGGACAACTCGAACAGTGCCTCCAGGGAGGCCTACCTCCCTAATGTTCCCTACTGGAGGGCGCGCATCTTCTAAGATGGCCGAAGGAATTGACACTGTGCAATCTCTGTACTCGCGTTTGGAAAGGTCGTTTTCCGACGGCCCTTCTTCGAACGCAGCGGATGGGTTTCGTCATATTGATTGAAGGTTCCCAGAACATCAACGATCAGCTGGGCATGAGGTTTCCGGCTACCCCAGGTAGGTGGATAGCCACGCCAGCGGACGGGGTAACTCTTCCAGACGCCACTCACGTCTGGTAGTTCAAAATTCGCTTCACCAGAAAGCTTTGACCACCGCCAAAATCCACCAAAGGATGTGGTGGTGGTGGGAACACCTGATCCGGTAGGATCTGCTTGATGTTCAGGAATTGCAATGTGTAAAAGAACAGTTACACGACGTTTTGGCTCATGAACGGACTCGGTGCTTCATGACCTTGTACAGGACAATTACAATTCCTTAGCGCACGATTGTGCGAACGATCTTTCCGTGTTTGTGTTCGAACAACTAAATACCGAACGTTTGACTCATTCTATTCGTGACGAGCTGGCTGTAGCTCGTCGAGACATCGCCGAACTGCGTGAACAGGTCGCTTCGCTAGTCAACCAGACGGGCTTGTTGAAACGGGACTACTCGAAGGTGGTATCGGCTCTCGACCGCGGAGGTGTTCTTCGCCTCTCGAAAAGGGCTCGTGCTGATAGTACGGGCGGAGACGTCCAACGTAAAACGTGGGATGCGTACGCATCTTACGGGGCAGTTCAATCGTGTATGCGTTGCCCATTCGGCACAAAACACGAATTGGACCGATACACTTGGGCAGTAATGTACTGCTGCTAACGTTTATCTCTGTGTGTTTTGGTAGATTTACTGTAGACAGTAAACTAAGTCTCCTTCATTGAATGAAAGAACATTTGCTCTACCAAGTTTGTCTGCATTTCCCTTCTGATTGTCTAGTACATCTACAATAGAGTCTTGAACGAAGCGGACAACCGCTTTGCGACTCAGCAGAAATTCCTCAGTTGATTCATCCTTGTTAGTAGCAGTGCGCTTCGTGTGCACTGCTGAAAGAACTGTGTCTTCACTAATGAGGGCGTCATCGTCCTCGCCGTGGCAGTCACTGGCGATGCTGAATATACCAGCACCGTCGTCATCACCATCATCGATATCGATCGCATCGACATCGGCATCCATCACGTCGACACCATTGTCGACGGGTGATGAGCAAGAACCAGATCTGTTTTTGTTCGTGCGAGTTCTCCCCCCCAAAACCAGATTCACACTCTAAGAAGGCGGGTAAACGTGGATGGCGTAGGCCATTCACGAAAAACGGTGTATGCGTTGTCGACGCATGCACCGAGTTGTTGATGGCGAATTCCGCCATCGGCAAGAGCTCACTCCATCTCGTAAACGAGTGGACATACCCTCGAAGTATCTCTTTGAGGATGCGGTTGACGCGTTCCGTCTGACCATCTGGTTCTGGATGGTCAGAAGTTGACATCTTCAACCGTGTTCCACGTGAACGGAACACGAATTGACAGAACTACGCTGTGGAGCGGGAATCCCTATCAGACACTAGTTCGCAGGGTAACCCGTGAAGTCGGAATATAGTATAGATGAAGACGCAAGCACAACCCTGGGCTGTGATTGACTCCGGTGCAGCAACAAGATGTACCATCTTGCTGAAACGATCAACAAACCCAAGAATACCAGTATTCTTGTGAACGTATTTGGGAAATCTAAAGACGAAGTCCATCGATACGGACTGCCTACACTATGCCGGAATCGGAAGAGGCTGCAAGGGTGCACGGGATGAAGGACTAGGCTTCACTCGTTGGCAAACTTCGCAAGCGCGGATGCATTTGCGCACAAACTCATACTGGCGGAGCCAGTAGAAGTCACGACTTACCGTGAGGTAAGTCTTTTCTCTGCCGCGATGCCCACTTGTTAGAGCATCGCGACACTCATACATGATGTGCAATCGCAAAAAATCATGAGCGGGAACGACTACACGAGGTGTGTCGCCGTTGACTGCTGTATAGTACAGCAGTCCATCACGAACCGAATACCGTTCGGTTGAAGAGCGGTATTGAGACGACAGCTTTTCAAAGCTTGACTGCATGGATTGGATACATAATCTATCAACCTCAGAAGTGACTCATATTCTGCGTATGCTTTCCGCACATCGTCGGGCAGATTCGACGACTGAATACTCACTGTTAGTGTTGCTACAGTGGAATCACCCCTACTGTTGGGTTGAGCAGTCAACCCCAAATTGGGCCGACGCGAAAGAGCATCAGCGACGACAATAAGTCGTCCTGGTTTACACTCGACGGAGAGGTCGTACTCCGTGAAGAAAGAAATCCACCCCCTCGCCATTCGTTGCGAGAGGTGTGGACTGTTTATGGCCGTGCGTAACGACACATATTTTGGTACAAACGATGAAGGGTCTATCTCCTAAGAGATATACCCGAAACGTAGCCAGTAAAAATTTCATGGCAAGGCGTTCCTTGTCATTCACTGAATAATTACGCTCGGCTGCTTGCAGCTGACGCGATTGATAACAGACGACGCGCTCAACGCCGTCTGATTAGCACTGTATATACGCGCAGCCGATTGCAATGTCGCTGGCCTCACAGACCACATGAAATGGTCTATCCTGGTCTGCAATCGCCAACACAGGCGATTGTATCAAGCTTTTATTGATACTTTCAAAGGAGTGCTAACACTCAGCACTCCATGACCACCTCTCCTTTTTCCTATAGCAGACGAGAGAGATGTACGGTCATATCGGCGTAGTTGCGCGAGTATATGTGCAATACGCTGCCAAGCCAAGGAACTTTCGAAGTCCCTTAATGTCGACTGGCATAGGCCAGTCGCTAATCACCTCGACCTTTTTGGGATCAGGGCGTACACCGTTTTTACCCACAATGCAGCCAAAATTGTTATTTCGTTCGCTGCGTATATACACTTCTTGAGGTTCGCGAACAACTTATGCTCTCGCATTAGTGCAAGAACCTGACGAAAGTGTTTTCTATGAACCTCCACGTTCGTCTTTCCATCCATAACCCGGCTATGAACGAGACATCGTCAAAGTAAATTGGTGCGAAATCGCGCACCGATCGCAACAGATTCGTAACACATTTGTTGAACATTGCAGGGGCGTTTCTAAGCCGCTATGACACTACTAGCCACTCCCAGAGCATACCGCTCGGGGTGCTCACTGCTTTGTACGGGATGTCCTGTTCACGCATGAGGATCTGATAGAATCCACCCATCAGATCCATGGACGAAAAGATGGTACTTTTTCCATACCATCTATGATGACTTCCTTACTTGGTATCGGCGTTTGAGCCGGTACCATTGCAGCGTCCAACTTGTTTATTGCATGCACAATCCGCCACCCTCCTGTGGCCTTTCGCACACAGAGGTCGAAGAGCTGTGTGGGGATGTTGATTCCCTCACATGACCAGCCGCTGATCGATCGGCAAAGAAATTCTTGGTCGATGTTACCTGTTCACGAGGCAGTGGCCACTGCTTCATGACACAGTATTTCGAGCCGTATTTCAGTTCGATCTCATGACGAGTGCCTTTGTCATTGGGCAGCTCGCATGGCACGGATTCCGGGAAAACATCCCTGAATTCCACCAAATACTTATACAAAGGATTTGTCGTTAAATGCTTTCAAGATTGAGACGTGTATCGCTCAATCCGAGTCTTCTCATGAGGACACTCTCGTCCATCGACGTGCTACTTAGAACCCGTTCGTTTTTAGCAAACACTGGCGCCGACCGAATATCGGCGACGTGCTCGTCCTCTGTGACGAGTGCGCATATCTTCTTGATCTTGTCACTACGCAGATCTCGCAAGAATCTTTCAGATTCTAGCGTTGGCTACTTGACTACCTCCGAAGCTGACTTCGGGGGTGTAACTAGATCAAGTGTATAAGCGCCCACACTTAATCAGTCATTCACCAAGACATTCACTATCTCGGTGATTTCCTGGGAAAACACATTCGCAGGTGGTTGGGGATCCACACCCTCAATATAACTCTCTCTGGAGTGATCACTCTCAGGAACACTAGAACTTTGTTCCAATGCGTGTAGTGACTTTGGGTACACTACCACAGTCACGTCCTCTTCGATCGACAATCTGTTAGTCGATCTCGCTTCAACGTGCTGTTCATCCTGAGCCACATTAAACTTTCTTCTGGATGCACCCTTCTTGTGTGCATCCGTGTACCAGTCCAATCGATCTCTTCGAGTTGTGAGCATTCGGCGCAGCCTGTGTCACGATACAGGTGCCAGAAGCTGGTTCCACAGTGTAGTGGCCTTCTACACTGTGATCCTGTGCAGTCATACTAACGACCGTACCACAAGTGAGGCTATCGCACTCACTCTTAGTACATCCACACGCTTGTAAACGCTCCAAGACGTTCATCAGATGACCATCTGATAAATAAACGGCAGTCATCTTCACGGATCGATGCTGCCAGCTGACCCATGGCTGATACTTTCTAAGCCATGGCAGACCGAGGATGACATAAGCTTTTATTCAAATCCAGTATGATGAAGTCATCATCGTACTGCTTTCCTTCTAGCGTGTAGTGGATTCCCACTACACGTTTATTCAATTTTACGGATGCGCCTGTTGTAAGGTGTAATGGGGCAACCCATTATATTAAGTAGTCAAAGATTATTACATAATTACATCCATTAAGTGTAGGCAGTATCCGGATAGCGGATACTGCGCGTCTATTTATTATTGGTTTATTATTGGGGTGCCAGACCCAATAATTAGCCAATAATAATTAGTTCTGTATTTGAGTGGTTCCCATGAGCTAGGGAACATATTCGCACTTACTGCGAATTATAAAAACACAAAAATACAAACAGAGTTAAATTTACCTTATAAATTACAGCGCTTCCTCAGCTTAATTATTAGTGTAAGACGGTAACGGGCTCTCACCCCGTTACACCTGGTAGCACTTCGTAGTCCTTCCCATGACCAAGTTCGAGATGGATATGAGTGAATCTTCGATGGCTCCAGCAGTTTCGCTGGAGCATGCAGATTTTCCCCATCTCACTACGGTAGAATGGCAGGCATTACACCGCCTCGCGGCGGTGTCTGGTGAAATCTTCGTGACGTCGCTGCTGAGCACAGCGACGCCCGAACAACACCGTGCCGCCATTCAAGACTACATGGTGCGCGAGCTCGCCGAAGCGAACCGGCGAGTACATACTCCCTCGCACCCCTCCCATTACGATGCAATTAAAATGGAGACGTCGACATACTCTGGTGATGGTCCAGATCGTCTCCCCCTTAATCGCTGGTTTAGGGAGATTGATATCGCCATAGCGTCAAGGTTGATTGACGCTCCGACGGCCAAGGTTAATTTCCTACTGTCTCGGCTTGTTGGTAAAGCCAAAGAATGGGCTCTTGGGAAGCTCGTTGTAAACGAGTTGGCATTCCCCACGCTGGACGATATCCAGCGCGACTTACGACTGGCGTTCGAGCCCCCTCAAGATGAGTCACGCTTGCGCGCAGATTTCTTTTCACTTCGACAGGGCAAGCTGTCGATGCGTGATTACGTACAGAAGACGCGACATCTTGCTTCGTGTATCATCACGCAGCCGATCGACATGGCTTCGCAAGTTCATGTCTTTGTCTTTGGTATGCAAGAGGGCATGACCCGCTATTGCCTCACACGTGCTGAACCTAAGACTCTTGAGGAGGCATTTGCATTCGCGCTTCGTGAAGATTACACGGTCGCATCGTCATATTTGCAGGCAGCGTCGCAACGCCCGCGTACGTCTGGCCCAGAGCCTATGGAAATTGACGTTATCGATGCATCTCGTGGTCGCGGCAAGCAATTTGGCCGCGACATTCGAAGTCAAAACACGATGAAGTGTTATCGGTGCGGCAAGACTGGCCATCGTGCGGCCGTCTGCCGATCACCTGCGCCGGTGTCCATGAACACAAGTGACTTACGTGGAGATACTGTGTCGTCCGTGGTCCCGCCAAGAAATGAGCGGTTCCAGTAGGTGCGGGGCGCCCTACTGGCAGTAATGGAGCCCCGAGTACTCAGGTGGCAGCTCGGGCTCCTAGCCCTAAAGTGATACATACCCACTTCAATGCCACCACTATGCGCGACGATTCGAGACTGATAATTATCAGTCTCATCGTTGCTGGAGTTAAACGACCACTTCGAGCGTTGTTGGATTCGGGTGCATCCAACAACTTCTTTCGAGCATCATGTTTGTCCCTTCTCCCGTCGACAGTTACGGTTCGAGAAGGTCCAGGTGACATCGTTGTCAAACTTGCTGATGGACAACCACAGCGTGTCCCGCGTAAAACAGTGGTTTTGCCGTACACGTTCGACGGCTTCCAAAGTAATGACGAATTTTTGGTGTACGAGATGAATTATGCATTCGATTGCATCTTGGGGATACCGTGGCTGTCACGATATCAGCCGACGATAGACTGGCTATCTCGGTCCGTCAAACGACGAAGCGGTTACGACGTAAGTGAAGTTTTCACTCATCTGTTGGTAGCGCCATCCGATTGGCCTCACGTCAGGGTCGTGAACGAACTCGCCACGACTAGAAGTCAGCACAGAGAGAGCGATGGCCCTCTGTGTCCGGTATGTTCAGTCACACTGATAGAACCACAACACGAGGCGGTTGAACAGAGGTTCCCGCAAACCCAGACATCGGTCGAGCAGGGGCTCCCGATTCACAACGAGACGGTCGAACAGAGGTTCCCGCAAACACAGACATCGGTCGAGCAGGGGCTCCCGATTCACAACGAGGCGGTCGAACAGGGGTTCCCGCACACACGGACATCGGTCGAGCAGGGGCTCCCGATTCACAACGAGGCGGTCGAACAGGGGTTCCCGCACACACGGACTTCGGTCGAGCAGGGGTTCCCGAGTTCTAGCGAGGCGGTCGAGCAGGGGCTCCCGCATACACACACAACGGCCGAGCAGAGGCTCCCGATTGTAACCGAGGTGGTCGAGCAGAGGCTCCCACATACATCTGAGGCGGTCGACGACGAGATCCCGCCTCTTATCGACGAGAATGAACGGGCTGTGGACTTAAATGTGAACGACGTGGTGGAGACAGAGCTCCCACGTCTAGCGGGGGGGGTACTTCATCCTCCAGCGACAGCGACGTTCCAGCCTCGAGCAGTGACTCAAGACGCAAGAGAAAGCGTAAACGCAAGAAAGGTGCACGCCGATCACCAAGACGACGAAATTCTCGCTCAAGCGCCGTTGACGATGATACTGTATTGACGGAATCCGTTTGTGCGCTTGAATATGTGGAAGGGTCTTCACATCGTGGCCGCTACGTTGAGGTAGCGAGCCCTCCGTGCACTGTTGCAGAGATCACATCTCTATTAACCCTACCATGAAAAGATTTTCTTCACGACCTCAAGGCCGGCGACATCGAGCAAGTGTGCATCATATCAGCCGCCGAAGCAGCTAGTGGAGAAGTTCTGGAGGCTCGCCCAAAGAGCGCTGAGCCCAAATCAGCGCGCGAAGAACGTTTCGTGGCACAGTCTTGGGAAGCCCTTCGTGCTTCGGGCAACCCTGTCTATGATATTGCGCGTGAGTATGCCGACATCTTTCCGGAGAATATCCCCGCTGAGCTTCCAGCGGATCGTGGTGTGCGACACGAGATCGATCTCGTGCCAGGATCGAAGTATTGCGTGACGCGGCAGTGGCCGCTACCGCGTGACCAAGTCATCGCAATTGATGAATTTTTTGAGGGCCGCCGTAAGGCAGGACACGTCCGCGAAAGCATATCGCCACATTCGAGTCCGACTTTCTGTGTGAAGAAAGCCACCGGCGGTTGGCGCATCGTGCATGCTTTTAACAAGTTGAATGACGCCACGATCCCGGCTCAAACACCAATTCCTCGGAAAGACATGGTACTGGATACCATGTCCGGCAGCGAGATTTTTAGCGCCATAGACCTGACAGACGGGTTTTACCAGATTTTAATGAGGGACAGTGATATCCCGTTCACCGCTGTCAGCACACCGAGTGGGATGTTTTGGGAGTGGCTAGTCATGCCACAAGGCCTTAAGAACGCTCCAGCAACGTTCAACCGGATGGTGACACAAGTGCTTCGGCCACTACGTGATTTCGCTCCAAGTTATTTCGACGATATTTTTGTTCACAGCCGCGCTGAGCAACAACTCAGCGCTACGGAGGTCCACCTTCGGCATTTGAAACAGGTGTTCCAAGTGATGCGCGAAAACAAACTGTACGCAAATTTGAAGAAGTGTGTCTTCTGTGCTCCCGAGATTCCAGTTCTTGGATGCTATGTTAGCAAGGAGGGTGTCCGTGCTGATCCTGAGAAAGTGTCATCGATATGTTTCTGGCCTACGCCCAGGAACCAAACGGAACTACGCCAATGGCTTGGCTTGGCCAATTACTTGCATAAGTATACGAAGAACTATGCAGAACTAATCCAGCCACTATCGACTCTACTGAAGAAAGACGCAGTTTGGTCATGGAAAGCTGAACATCACTCTGCCTTCAACTCTGTGAAAAAGAGCTTGTCTGAAGCACCAGTGCTGATGTTGCCTGATGATTCCAAGCCATTTCACGTCGTCTGTGATGCGAGTGATTTCGCTATTGGATGTGCCCTCATGCAGTTTGACGATGAGGGCCGAGAGCGCGTCGTGAGCTTTCAGTCACGACAGATGAAACCCGCAGAGCGGAACTATCCGGTACATGACAAGGAACTTTTGGCTATGCGTTACGCGCTGATCAAGTTCAAAGTATATTTGCTCGGCGAGAAGATGTTTTCGGTCTATACAGATCACGCATCATTGCGTACCGCCGTCAAGACTCCCCACTTGTCCCAGCGTATGGCACGTTGGTTGTCATACTTCTCAGAGTATAATTCCGTGGTCTTTTACAAACCCGGCAAGAACAACATTCTTGCTGACGCGCTTTCTCGACGTCCCGATTATGATCCTCGACGTGACATGGGTCATCAGCCAGGCATTGCTGAAGACGAGGACGACGACATTTGTTTATGCTGTGCTGAGCAGGGGCTCAATGCAATGATTTCGACACCTGAGCTGTCAATCCGGACTCAAATCGCTGAGTCATATGCGAACGATTCATTCTACACGGGAATCATCAATTATCTTCGACACCCTAGTGAGGGTTCACTCGCGAAGTTGACGAAACCAACGCGTGACAACATCAAGCGGTACGCGCTTGATGGTCCGCTGCTGACTTATACAATGGACGTTTTCGACCCACCGCGCGTCGTCATCCCTGCTGATGACGACCTCCGCGCACGATTGGTGCATGAATTTCATGACACTCCAACTGGTGGTCATTTGGGTCGCGAGAAGACGTTCGCGGCCATCTCTCGTGTGTTTTTCTGGCCGCGTATGTACAAATACATCCAGAAATGGGTACGCTCTTGTATAATATGCCAGCGTGTGAAGCCTGCGCCGTCTTCACAAGCTCCATTGCGTCCGCTTCCGATTGCCACGGAAGCCTGGCGTTCGGTCAGCATGGATTTCATCTTTGGTCTCCCTCCGGACGAACAGAAACGCACGGGCGTATTGGTTTTTGTGGATCGATTTAGCAAAATGGTGCATTTTGCTCCAGTCTCCGCGCACGTTACGGCGGAGACGACCGCGCAGATCTTCATCGTTCTCATATTTCGACATCACGGCTTGCCTGAATCAATTGTTTCGGACCGCGACCCGCGCTTTACATCAGCTTTTTGGGCAACGTTGTTTCAACTATTGGGCACGCGACTGCTTATGTCTACGGCAGCCCATCCAGAGACGGATGGGCAAACGGAGCGCGTGAACAGAGTGCTTGAAGATGTACTACGCAGTTATGCGACATCGTTCCAGTCGTGGAGTTCGTTTCTCCCTCTCGCTGAATTTGCAATCAACAACGCAATTCATGCGTCGACTGGGTTAACGCCATTTCTCGTGAATAACGCGAGGCACCCTCGCGTTCCAGCGCTTCTTGCTCTTTCAGCTTCAGCACACCCAGTTTCTCAGCTTGGTGGGGGAGTATCTCCCGATGACACTACGCGAAAAATTTTGATGATTGGTAATGTTGAAGACAAGGTTGCTGCCGATCCAACTCATACTGTTAATTTCGTGGCCAATGGCATATCGAGTCCCGACGCGATGCATCCCATCGCGTCTCCCGTCGCTAATTTTGCTCCTAAAGAGTCCACTTCTCCTGTAAGTTCGGCTGCTGTGACCGAATTCCTATTACTACGGCAAAGTATCACGCGTTTTGTACGCGATGCACTCCAAGAAGCAGTGGATAAACAAAAGGAGAACGCGGACAAGCGAGGTCGAAAGAACTTGCTGACGTTCAAAGAAGGTGACAGAGTCTTACTATCGACAAGCGGATTACCAGACACGTCAGTAACGAATTTGGGCGCTAATAAATTAGCGCCAAGATATATTGGGACCTTTCGGATTGTTGAAGTCCATGGAGATGCTTACACGCTAGACATACCTACCACTATGCGTTTGCACCCGACATTCTATGTCGGGCGCCTTAAGGCTTACCAGCCGGCGGATCTCCCTTCGGTCCTTCCTCACTCGTCTGTATCGGCTCAAAGTCCGACACCCCCTGCCGACGACGCTGACGACGACTGGGACCAAGTCCTAGACGAGCGCGAGCAGACTCATTCTGCTGGGGTCCACCGAACGCAGCAGTCTCGAGCTGTCGCAGACGCTCCACCAAGCCCTGCTGCTCCCGTCGGGTTCTCTCGGCAGCCTCTGTCGCAGCTGCTGAACGATCTCGAGCCCTCTCGGCCATCTCACGGGCATCCAGAAGGCCGTTCATCGCCTCCTCAGTGTCAGCACGAAGGAAACGAAGCTCGTCACTCGACGGCACAGGCGCCCGATTATGAGAATCGGCGCCCAACCCAAGAAGCCTTCCGTCGTGATGCTCCTCCTCCCTTGGTAGATGCATCGGGTGAGCGACGCTGGATTGTGGACCGTATCGTCGGCCATGAAGACCCCACGCCTCTTGCGCCGAGTAGTGGCTCGGCGCCATCGAAGAATCGTTCAGAAACGCATTACAAGGTCCGATGGTTGGGTTATTCACCAACGGAAGACACGTGGGAGCCTCGAAGTATGCTGGCTCACGATGTTCCTGACGTCGTTGAGGAGTACGAGACCAGTAAGAGGTCGGCGAACGCGACCGACGCTGCTGACTCCTTCCACGATCCCGCGAACCGTAACGTGCGTGAATTGGCGATCGACGACGATCTCCCGAGCGACTCCGACGTCTTCTACGAGGCTCGGGAGCATTTGGATACCTTGACGGTCGAGAGCGACTACGAGAACGACCTTGGTGGTCGTAAGACAAACGATCTCGACTACGTGAACGCCTCCATTGATCGACAGGGCGTTCCCTCATGTGACGCAACGCAGATACTTGGAGCTCTGAGAGGCTCCTCTCATAGCGTCCGATCCATGGTCGGATGTGCTGGGGCATTCCCCGTGCACACACCATGTCGTCCCATTCCTGCCGCATTGGTCGCGGTCTCTCCATGTGACACCGTGGACACCCTTCACGGACATGGACGTAACACATGTGGAACCCATCACGAGTCAAATGACATACGCGTCGTCGTAAGTCGCCAATAGCGTGGTCGCCATGAGTACTTTCGCGTCCCTCGATCCAGGACGTGAAGGATGCCCCCTTCACGTCGACTCGCGTTCCAACGTCTGATGAAGGCACACCAAGATCGTTGCAGTGCGTCTTCAGTGTATGTGTGATTCGTTCCCTTGCCTCGAACGTTACGGTATCGTGTGAAGAGATTCTTCACGGTCTCAAGTGATTCAGGTTGGTGCGCGCCTTCAAGGCTGTACAAGCCCCACGGCTTCAAGTCGTCATCCATGGTCTGCGGTGCACGCTCTCTTCGAAGTGTCTGATGACCCCAACTGTCGTTTGGGGTCGAGTCGCGTGGGTGTTCAGGATTCATGCTGCTCAGTTGTTTGTGGCTGAGCAGATTCGAAGGCCAAGATGACGTGTCGTTGGAGTTCTCGTTGGGCTTTTCGTTGGACTATTCGTTAAGAAGAAACTTTCGTGTATGGCGCTTACGTCACGGTAAGCGCAACTAAAAGAGGGATGATGATGCAATGGCGCAACCCATTATATTTAGTAGTCATAGTTTTATTACATAATTACATACATTAAGTGTAGGCAGTATCCGGATAGCGGATACTGCGCGTCTATTTATTATTGGTTTATTATTGGGGTGCCAGACCCAATAATTAGCCAATAATAATTAGTTCTGTATTTGAGTGGTTCCCATGAGCTAGGGAACATATTCGCACTTACTGCGAATTATAAAAACACAAAAATACAAACAGAGTTAAATTTACCTTATAAATTACAGCGCTTCCTCAGCTTAATTATTAGTGTAAGACGGTAACGGGCTCTCACCCCGTTACATAAGGCAAATCTTCATCCTCACTGGAGAGAAATCTCTCTCAACATAGTTGAGTCTACTGTCTTCTAGCGACTGGCGTCAAATAAAACTGTTTGACGCCCCATAGTCAACTAAAGCGCGAAGTGACATAGCACTTGTCACTTCGATCTATAAAGTGATGAGTGACACCTCATCACGAGGGACTCCTCATCACTAGGGGCAGTTACACACAGCGACTGTGTGTTGGGATCCATCTTCGTCAAGAGTCCTGCAAATTCTCTTGAAGTTGCTGGGTCAGCAGGGTGCTCCGCCCCTACTGACCCTGACTGTTATTCGACGGTCCGACTTGCTGTCGCGGTTTAGCGATATGGTCGGATCCGCGCCTTGGACCTTTCCTCGACTAACGGCGGTCCTCACGTCCTGTCTTTGTACGTGATGTGGTAATTGGGACACTACACTCATGAGGGTAGTGTCCTATCTACTGACGGCGATCGCATCTTGCCGATCGCTTGTGACTCAGAAAGATAGAGAGTTTTTGCTCTCGATGTAACAGAGGTCCATTGGTTCGGGACCTCCGGTTTATTGTGGTCTCGTCGGACGATAGTTTAATGAGTTGGCCTGAGACTGTCTCAGGCTAAAGTCTTCTTGTTTCGCATACGTTGTCGCCTTTTCCAGCATATGGAAGTCCTCTCGGAACATGTAGGTCTTCATCGGTCCATCTACAAAGCCTTAGATGAACACGTTGACGAGCGTGTGCTCATCAACAGGGTTTCCGTAACGCTACTCGCAAGGTAGCGTAGGTGTTGCGCGTAAGCGTGAACATCACGATTACCTTGCTTTAGCCTCAGATGCGAAGAGCGTGCTCTGAACTCGGCTCGTGGCGGCCCAAACGTCTCTTTGAGCCGAGACTTCAAGATCTCCAACGACTCAAACACTTTTAAATCGTGAAGCTCGAGCCTTAATGCCCAAGTCTTTGCTTGTCCCGTCAAATTTGACAGGGCGAAGGTGACTTGCATTTTGTCACCCTCGATGTGACGGGCCCTGATGGCATCGTCTAACTACACGAACCATCTCAAAAGGTAATCTTCATCGGTTCCCTTGTACCTTGAGATATCTATCTTCACGGTTTCGGGTCGACGCATGTGCGTCGGCTCGTTCATCGACTGATGAGAGCCTTGATGTTGTAGCAAGGCTATCAATATAACTTCATTCTTTATGTAGCATTATTAATTTTCAATGTCGTATGACGACAACTTGCTCTCCACTCATTACGCGTTTCTAGTAGCGATTGGTGGTAATCTTGGTTGATACGTCTTTGACAACCAATCTTTTGAGCGGTGCATGAAAAATTATCCTATGGGGATAGTATTCCTTCAAAAGCACCTATCTCGGGTAATTTTGGTAGGATATTGTCATGCCAGACAACATCCCTATTGACACCGTTTGGTGATTACATTTTTTAATTTTCAAAAAACTTTTAGTATTTTTAATGTCAATATCATGTAACGGCCTACCCCGTTACAAAAGAAATATCCCAATGCATCAACGCGCTCCGGACGACTCTCGTTGAATGCTGGAGGTACGATGGCTAAATCGTTGTGGATATTTGTATCGGCCTCTTCGATTAGTATATGAAACGGAGTATGCTGAAGGTGGTTTCTGAAAATCATACGAGTGCGATGAGCGTAACAAGTACATCAGTTGTGTAACGGGGTGAATCGTTGCATAACAATTTATAAGAAATTGTTAATAGAATATAACTATAGGAGTTATATTCTCAGAATACTGTCATAAGGACAAATATTCTGTAGCACTTACGAGTAGTTCCTAATTGGTTGATATAGGCCATTATATCAACCAACGAAGACGCGCCACGACAGACGCACGCAATGAGTGGTGAGCAGATAGTTGATTTGCACATTTGTATTTAGACATAGTTAGATGAAGATAAATAGTGATTTATTGCAGACATTAACTATTATAAATACAGTTCTACTTTTTACTTTAACCAAGTACTCGCTTCTTCTTACCGTCTTCCTCTGCACGTACGAGTGTACGTGAAGTTCCGAGGCACCGCCTTATTCTGTCATCAGAATAAGTAGCTTGTACTGTTACCAGTACAAGCTTCAGGGTGCCCCGTTACACCTGGTAGCACTTCGTAGTCCGTCCAAGGACCACGTTCACATCTAACATGAATATGTTGGATGATGAAGATGACCAAAGCTTTCACGCTACGCGTGACGGCTACTCCCATTTGAGCGATGTCGAATGGGATGCGGTTGAACGGATGGGTTCAACCATGGGCATCCATGCTGTTAGTGATTGCTAGAGGCTCTCAATAGAGATGCCCAACATGGTACTATCGCCAAGTTCATTCAAAATGAACTTGACGCCGAACGCGAGAAAGTAGCCTTGCTTCACCAACAAGGTTCTCAACAAGCAGAGTTGTTGAGAGAACAGGGTGTTCAACAGTTTGAACTGTTGAGACAGCAGCAGGCTGCTGCTGGTGAGTCGATGCACTCGCGTCGACCCGAAACCTTGAAGATCGACGTCTCCAAGTATAGGGGAGTCGAAGAGGATTCCCTCCTGAGATGGTTTGTCGAATTGGATGACGCCATAAGGGCGCGTCGCATCGACGATGGGGATATGCAAGTTGCATTTGCCCAGTCAAATCTGGCAGGACGTGCCAAGACTTGGGCTTTGGAGCTCAAGTTGCACGACCCATATGCGTTTGGGTCGTTGGAAGTCTTCAAGTCGCGGCTCAGACAAACGTTTGAACCGCCTAGAGCTGAGTTCAGGGCTCGAACCGAACTCTTGAAGCTCAAACAGGGTAAGCGTGATGTGCACGCTTACGCCCAACATATACGACATCTCACGAGTTGTATAAGTTCCAATCCGGTGGATGAACACACGTTGGTTTCGTTGTTCATGCAGGGTCTTGCGGATGGTCCCGTCAAGACTCACCTGTTCCGACTTGAACTAGATTCACTAGAACAAGCCATTTCCATTGCGGAACAGGAAGACTTCAGTCTGAGACAGGCTCGCGCCAGCTCGACATCATATCGTCAACCGAGACGATATGACAACGGAGGTCCAGAGCCGATGGAACTCTGTTATGTAGAGAGCGAGAAGGCTCCCTCTACAGACTACAAGAGGTTGCAGAGATGCAATAGATGTCAAAAGACAGGACACTACGCTTACGAGTGTAGTGCCCCTCGTCCAGTGTCTTGCAACACTGGGCGTAGTGACCGTCCACCCATGAGAAAGGGGCAGGTAAGCGGGTCCGCTGTTGGTGCAAAGACGCAACAACGGGACGGACCGTCAAAAAACGGACAGGATCAGTAGGTGCGGAGCACCCTACTGGTCTAGCAACGTCAAGAGAATTTGTAGGCCTCTTGATGAAAGTTGCTCCCAACACACAAACGTTGTGCGTTGCTGCTCTAGGTAATGAGGACTCACTCATTACCTTGAAACTCGAAGTGACGAATAAGTTGTCCCTTCGAGCTCTAGTCGATTGTGGGGCGTCTAACAATTTTGTGCGACGCCAATCGCTAGAAGATGGTCACTTTAATTTCAGTGAATGTGACACACCTCCTACGAGGATGACGGTACGTCTTGCGACAGGCGCATCCGTAACCGTCATAAAGCGTATAGTGAAGATTCGATATACGCTAGAAGATATCCAAAATGACGATGACTTTATCGTATCAGATTTGGATGACAAATATGACGTCATCCTTGGAATACCGTGGCTCAGAAGGTACGAACCACGGGTTAACTGGCAACATCAAACAGTAACGATGCCTGCCGCTTGTTCATCAGATGGCCATCTAATGACCGTTTTGGAGCGTCCACAAGCGTGTGGATGTACTACGAGTGAGTGCGATGGCCTCACTTGTGGTACGGTCGTTAGTACGACTGCACAAAACCTTAGTGTACCAAACGGTTACACTTCGGAGCAAGCTTCCGACGGCTGTGAGGAAACACAGGCTGCGCCGAAGGTCCACCACTCGAATAAGTCGGGTGGACTGGGACAAAGATGTATCCCTACAGGGAACATCTAGAAGATAAACGATCGATCGCTCAGGTTAAGCGAAACGATAATCCTAGATCGACTGGAGAGTCTTTCGTAGAGGATCTCGCTGTGGTTGCGCAACCCCAGCTAGAGGAAGTTAAGGGAAAAGTCCAAGATTACAAACACGGCGGGGAAATAAGTTCCCCGAAACCCGCGGGAATAAGTCCCCGGGAAGCCGAAGGAATAAGTCCTTCGAGGCCTGAGGGATTATGTCCCCAGGAAATGACAGAGACATTGAATGTCATGGTCAATAACGGATCAAGTGTAGGCGCTTATAAACTTGATCTGATTGCGCCTCCGAAGTTAACTTCGAAGATCACTCAGTTGCCAACGCTCGAACATAAATGGTTCTTGCGTGATCCGCGTAGTGGTAAAGTCAAGCAGATCTGTGTACTCGTCGCTGACGACGAGTGTGTAGCCGACATAAGGTCAGCAACAGTGTTCACTGAGAACGAGAGAGTTCTCAGTAGTTCATCTATGGACGAGAGCGTCCTCTATGAAAAGACACGAATTGGGCGATATGACTCCCAATCGTGGAAATCGCTCAAGACAAATCCTCTCTATGAAGATTTGGTTGAATTCAAGGATGTATTCCCTGAAACTGTCCGTGCAAATTACCGAAGGATAAAGGTATTCGACACGAGGTCGAGCTTAAACCAGGCTCGAAGTACTGTGTCATGAAGCAGTGGCCACTGCCTCGTGAACAAGTACTTGCGATCGACAAGTTCTTTGCCGATCGTTTAGCTGCGGGCCATGTGAGGGAATCAACTTCCCCACATAGCTCTCCGACCTTCTGTGTGCGAAAAGCAACAGGAGGGGGGTGGATAGTGCATGCATTTAACAAGTTGAATGCTGCAACGGTACCGGCTCAGACGCCGATACCGAGGAAGGACGTAATCATTGATGGTGTGTCAAAGAGTACCATCTTTTCGTCCATGGATTTGATGGATGGCTTCTATCAAATCCTTATACGAGAACGGGATATACCCTATACCGCAGTTAGCACGCCTAGCGGCATGCTCTGGGAATGGCTAGTAATGCCACAAGGGCTTAGTAATGCCCCTGCCACGTTCAACAGATGTGTATCACATCTGTTGAGACCAGTACGAGAATTCGCGCCGAGTTATTTCGATGACGTCTTCATCCATAGTCGGGCTATGGATGGAAAGTCGGACGTTGAGGTTCACAGGTACCACGTCCGACAGGTTCTTGCAATCATGCGAAAGCATCAATTGTATGCAAACCTCAAGAAGTGTATATTTGCAGCAAGCAAAATACCACTTCTTGGGTGCATCGTTGGTAAGAACGGTGTACGTCCTGATCCCGAAAAGATCAAGGCGATCACCGACTGGCCTGTGCCGGTTGATGTCAAAGGTCTTCGAAAATTTCTTGGGCTAGCGGCGTATTTGCATAAGTATTCACGCAATTACGCCGAGATGACTGTGCATCTCTCTCGTTTGTTGAAAAAAGAACGAGAGATGGTTATGGAACACTGAATGTCACCGCTCCTTTGATGGTATCAAGCAGAGCTTGATACAATCCCCAGTCCTAGCAATAGCCGATCAGGACAGGCCATTCATATGGTCTATGATGCCAGCGATTTCGCAATCGGCTGTGCATTAATGCAGTACGATCTTGAAGGCGTTGAACGCGTCGTCTGCTATCAGTCGCGTCAGCTGCAACCAGCTGAGCGGAACTATCCAGTGCATGACAAGAAACTCCTTGCCATGAAGTATGCACTCGCGAAGTTCAGAGTCTATCTATTAGGAGATAGACCCTTCATTGTTTACACTGACCACGCGTCATTACGCACGGCAGTGAACAGCCCGCACCTTCCACAACGAATGGCGCGGTGGTTGTCATTCTTTGCAGAATACAACTTTACGGTAGAGTACAAACCAGGACGACTTCATGTCGTCGCTGATGCACTCTCACGTTTGCCCGACTTTGAACCAGTCGTGAAACCCAGCAGTGAGGCAGTCACTGTTGCGGTTATGACGTCCTCAGTCCCATCTACAACGTTGAATGATGATGTGAGGCGGGCATACGCCCAAGATGGTGAGATTGTGAAATTGTTGACACATCTCCCACAGCCATCTCGAGAATCGTTGAAACGATTATCGTCTGCGTATCGATCTGCATCAGATCGATACACTACTCACAAAAGTTTACTGTATTATACAGCCGTTTCTGGTGACAATCCACGTGTTGTCATCCCAGATGATACTGATCTGCGTTTGCGAATCATGTTCGAGTATCACGATTCTCCTATAGGAGGACATCGTGGCCGGGAGAAAACATATCTCACGGTGAGTCGAAACTTTTGCTGGCCCCGCCAGTATCAGTTTGTGCGAAAGTATGTTCGCGCATGCGAAGTCTGTCAACGAGTGAAGTCAAGTCCTTCACTGCGTGCATCTTTACAGCCTCTATCGGTTCCGGCTGAGTGCTGGGAATCCATCTCAATGGATTTCGTCTTCGGGTTACCCAAAGACGCACGCGGGAATACGGGTATTCTCGTATTTGTTGACAGATTCAGCAAAATGGTACACCTTGTGGCTATACCAGAGACAATCACGGCAAGTGGCTGTGCTTGTGTCTTTATTGACACCATCTTCCGACTTCATGGGTTGCCCCGTGAACTCGTATCAGACAGAGACCCACGATTCACTGCTGATTTCTGGCGTTCCGTGTTCAAATCACTCGGAACGCGCTTGAAGATGTATACATCTGATCATCCAGCGTCAGATGGTCGGACGGAACGTGCCAATCGTGTCCATGAAGAGATACTTCGAGGATGCGTACACTCCTTTAAGAGTTGGAGTGATTACTTGCCAGTGGTAGAGTTTTCCATTAACAACTCGGTGCATGCGTCCACGACACATACACCGTTTTACGTAAATGGATGACGCCATCCGCGTGCATCCACCTTACTAGAGTGTAACTCTGGTTTAAGGGGGGGGGACTCGCGCGAGCAAAAACCGATTTGGGTCACGCTCATCACGCTCTGACGAAGAGGTCATTGCGTTTGATGCCAATGTCGACAACATCGATATCGAAGAAGATGATGCCAGTGAGAGCGCGGAAGCCCTCACTGAAGAAAAGATTGATGTTGCTGCAGTGCACTCACAGCGCACTGAAGCTAACGAGTCATCAGATGAGTTCATACTGGCTCGTGAAACGGTAGTCCGTTTTGTGCAAAATTCCATCGCCAAAGCGGTGGATAAGCAAAAGCAAAACGCTGACAAGAATGGAAGGGCAAACACTCTTTTATTTAATAAGGGTGACTTATTCCTACTGTCTACGGTTAATCTACCAAAGCATGTAGTGACTAACTTGGGTAGCAGTAAACTACTACCCAAGTGCATCGGCCCATTTCGTGTATTGCACCGCCTAGGCAATGCATACACGATCGAGTTGCCACGTAAGATGCGAACGCATCCCACGTTTTAAGTTGGTCGGCTTAAGCCGTACCATCAGTACGCTGCTTCTTCCGATGAAGAACGCCCTTGCGCTCAAGCATCTCGCAGAGAGCCTTGTGCTCCCGATGGTGGGCATCGACAAGGGTCTGGAGAGCAGTTGTCTCTGCCCGAGACCGATCAACAATCCCACGAGCTACCATTAGCTCGTCACGCAGAGATGTCAGAGCTCTCTCATTCTCAAGCTGTGCAAAGGCAAACTCAGCTCGATGCTTCAAGACAGTGTCCGCCATTTGTAGACGCCTGTCCCGCTCATGTTCGAGATTGCCGCGTAACCCTTGCGTTACGCGGTCAAAGAATCTCTCGGGAACACACGCTTCCCCACGATTGTGTGGAGAGCGTCTTCCCTCCTCCTCCACCTCTATTAGAGGACTCTCCCGGTGGCCAGCGCTATCTGGTTGAGCAGCTGTTGAACCACCGCGACGTGAACGGACGTTGGACGAGTTATCTCGTCCGGTGGCGCGGCTATCCCCCGTCCTGGGATACTTGGGAGCCCCGCTCCCAAGTGATGGTTGACGTACTGGGTCTGGTTGAAAAGTACGACGCGGCACATCCTGTGCAGCAGAAGGACCGCTGGAAAAATTCTTCCCGGCACGGTCGTAAAGGGATTTCAGGTTGTCAATCCCTTCGTACATCTCAGTGGAGATACGTACGCGCCACCACGGGCTATTAGGGAGGTAAGCCTCCTTAGGTGCTCGTGCAGAGTTGTTTACACAACACGGGCACGAGTCTCCCCAGGAGAGGCAGGGTAAACCACCCTCCTTAGACAGACGATGCAGCTTGTAGCGTGCACCTGTCGGGGTTCGCTTTTCAAACTTATCACGACCTTTGATAAGTTTGTCGTTCCAAACGTCACGGCCTACATCCTCAAGGTTATGGATGTAGGCGTTCCACGCTTGAAGCAGTGAGGGACCATCACGCTTGTGATTCCCACTGTACCATCGATGTCTAAAGAAAGCATCGATGAAGAATTCATTCTCAGCGCGATAGTTTTTCGCGCTGGGGTCAAGGTGATGAATCCTTGACGAATCGAACAACCGTGTTCGATAACGATCACTCGTCGTCGCCGAAAAGTGATCCATGACAGATTTTGGAGGCATCCATGCCTTCTTCTCAGGAGCGAGACGCAAGAAATTGCGGTCCCGCTCTTTCTGCGACGTGCCGACAGAAGGACTGGCACCTCGTTGCGAAGTGGTGTCCATAGGAGAACCGACACCACTGTTAGCGCCCGAGTCTCGCGACCTCGAGCGCCTTCGCTTCGGCGATGGTTTAACTAATTCATCAGATGAACCAAAGATGCTACGACGCATAGCATCATCCATGCCACGCTTGGCAGGCGGCTTGTTTCAACCATCTTCGATACGGATCCTTCTTCCGTATCAGGAGAGTATGGGACACCGAGCTCATACTAGAACGGGGCACCCTGAAGCTTGTACTGGTAACAGTACAAGCTACTTATTCTGATGACAGAATAAGGCGGTGCCTCGGAACTTCACGTACACTCGTACGTGCAGAGGAAGATGGTAAGAAGAAGCGAGTACTTGGTTAAAGTAAAAAGTAGAACTGTATTTATAATAGTTAATGTCTGTTAATAAATCACTATTTATCTTCATCTAACTATGTCTCAATACAAATGTGCAAATCAACTATCTGCTCACCACTCATTGCGAGCGTCCGTTGTGGCGCGTCTTCGTTGGTTGATGTAATGGCCTATATCAACCAATTAGGAACTACTCGTAAGTGCTGCAGAATATTTGTCCTTATGACAATATTCTGAGAACATAACTCTTATAGTTATATTCTATTAACAATTTCTTATAAATTGTTATGTAACGATTCACCCCGTTACATCACCCCCTTAACAATCAGTCACTTTAGTGACTGATTGACTAAATGGATACTCGTCCCAAATCATTTGGGATAATGTTTGCACTTGTTGGTCCGAGTCCACTTTCCAACATCTCATCGCATGGTTAACAAGCCCATGCGATGCGCGAGCAAGGCCGCCGAGAGCGCGAGACTCGGGCGCTAACAGTGGAGTCGGTTCTCCTATGGACACCACTTCGCAACGAGGTGCCAGTCCTACTGTCAGCACGTCGCAGAAAGAGCGGGACCGCAATTTCTTGCGTCTCGCTCCTGAGAAGAAGGCATGGATGCCTCCAAAATCTGTCATGGATCACTTTTCGGCGACGACGAGTGATCGTTATCGAACACGGTTGTTCGATTCGTCAAGGATTCATCACCTTGACCCCAGCGCGAAAAACTATCGCGCTGAGAATGAATTCTTCATCGATGCTTTCTTTAGACATCGATGGTACAGTGGGAATCACAAGCGTGATGGTCCCTCACTGCTTCAAGCGTGGAACGCCTACATCCATAACCTTGAGGATGTAGGCCGTGACGTTTGGAACGACAAACTTATCAAAGGTCGTGATAAGTTTGAAAAGCGAACCCCGACAGGTGCACGCTACAAGCTGCATCGTCTGTCTAAGGAGGGTGGTTTACCCTGCCTCTCCTGGGGAGACTCGTGCCCGTGTTGTGTAAACAACTCTGCACGAGCACCTAAGGAGGCTTACCTCCCTAATAGCCCGTGGTGGCGCGTACGTATCTCCACTGAGATGTACGAAGGGATTGACAACCTGAAATCCCTTTACGACCGTGCCGGGAAGAATTTTTCCAGCGGTCCTTCTGCTGCACAGGATGTGCCGCGTCGTACTTTTCAACCAGACCCAGTACGTCAACCATCACTTGGGAGCGGGGCTCCCAAGTATCCCAGGACGGGGGATAGCCGCGCCACCGGACGAGATAACTCGTCCGACGTCCGTTCACGTCGCGGTGGTTCAACAGCTGCTCAACCAGATAGCGCTGGCCACCGGGAGAGTCCTCTAATAGAGGTGGAGGAGGAGGGAAGACGCTCTCCACACAATCGTGGGGAAGCGTGTGTTCCCGAGAGATTCTTTGACCGCGTAACGCAAGGGTTACGCGGCAATCTCGAACATGAGCGGGACAGGCGTCTACAAATGGCGGACACTGTCTTGAAGCATCGATCTGAGTTTGCCTTTGCTCAGCTTAAGAACGAGAGAGCTCTGACATCTCTGCGTGACGAGCTAATGGTAGCTCGTGGGATTGTTGATCGGTCTCGGGCAGAGACAACTGCTCTCCAGACCCTTGTCGATGCCCATCATCGGGAGCACAAGGCTCTCTGCGAGATGCTTGAGCGCAAGGGCGTTCTTCATCGGAAGAAGCAGCGTACTGATGGTACGGCTTAAGCCGACCAACTTAAAACGTGGGATGCGTTCGCATCTTACGTGGCAACTCGATCGTGTATGCATTGCCTAGGCGGTGCAATACACGAAATGGGCCGATGCACTTGGGTAGTAGTTTACTGCTACCCAAGTTAGTCACTACATGCTTTGGTAGATTAACCGTAGACAGTAGGAATAAGTCACCTTTATTAAATAAAAGAGTGTTTGCCCTTCCATTCTTGTCAGCGTTTTGCTTTTGCTTATCCACCGCTTCGGCGATGGAATCTTGCACAAAACGGACTACCGTTTCACGAGCCAGTATGAACTCATCTGATGACTCGTTAGCTTCAGTGCGCTGTGAGTGCACTGCAGCAACATCAACCTTTTCTTCAGTGAGGGCTTCCGCACTCTCACTGGCATCATCTTCTTCGATATCGATGTTGTCGACATTGGCATCAAACGCAATGACCTCTTCGTCAGAGCGTGATGAGCGTGAACCAAATCTGTTTTTGCTCGCGCGAGTCCCTCCCCCCTTAAACCAGAGTTACACTCTAGTAAGGTGGATGCACGCGGATGGCGTAAGCCATTCACGTAAAACGGTGTATGTGTCGTGGACGCATGCACCGAGTTGTTAATGGCAAACTCTACCATCGGCAAAAACTCACTCCAACTCTTAAAGGAGTGTACGCATCCTCGAAGTATCTCTTCAAGGACACGATTGGCACGTTCCGTCCGACCATCTGACGCTGGATGATCAGATGTATACATCTTCAAGCGCGTTCCGAGTGATTTGAACACGGAACGCCAGAAATCAGCAGTGAATCGTGGATCTCTGTCTGATAAGAGTTCACAGGGCAACCCATGAAGTCGGAAGATGGTGTCAATAAAGACACAAGCACAGCCACTTGCCGTGATTGTCTCTGGTATAGCCACTAGGTGTACCATTGTGCTGAATCTGTCAACAAATACGAGAATACCCGTATTCCCGCGTGCGTCTTTGGGTAACCCGAAGACGAAATCCATTGAGATGGATTCCCAGCACTCAGCCGGAACCGGTAGAGGCTGTAAAGGTGCACGCAGTGAAGGACTTGACTTCACTCGTTGACAGACTTCGCATGCGCGAACATACTTTCGCACAAACTGATACTGGCGGGGCCAGTAAAAGTCTCGACTTACCGTGAGACATGTTTTCTCCCGTCCACGATGTCCTCCTATAGGAGCATCGTGATACTCGAACATGATTCGCAAACGCAGATCAGTGTCATCTGGGATGACAACACGTGGATTGTCACCAGAAACGGCTGTATAATACAGTAAACTTTTGTGAGTAGTGTATCGACCTGATGCAGATCGATACGCAGACGATAATCGTTTCAACGATTCTCGAGATGGCTGTGAGAGATGTGTCAACAATTTCACAATCTCACCATCTTGGGCGTATGCCCGCCTCACATCATCATTCAACGTTGTAGATGGGACTGAGGACGTCATAACCGCAACAGTGACTGCCTCACTGCTGGGTTTCACGACTGGTTCAAAGTCGGGCAAATGTGAGAGTGCATCAGCGACGACATGAAGTCGTCCTGGTTTGTACTCTACCGTAAAGTTGTATTCTGCAAAGAATGACAACCACCGCGCCATTCGTTGTGGAAGGTGCGGGCTGTTCACTGCCGTGCGTAATGACGCGTGGTCAGTGTAAACAATGAAGGGTCTATCTCCTCATAGATAGACTCTGAACTTCGCGAGTGCATACTTCATGCAAGGAGTTCCTTGTCATGCACCGGATAGTTCCGCTCAGCTGGTTGCAGCGGACGCGACTGATAGCAGACGACGCGTTCAACGCCTTCAAGATCGTACTGCATTAATGCACAGCCGATTGCGAAATCGCTGGCATCATAGACCATATGAATGGCCTGTCCTGATCGGCTATTGCTAGGACTGGGGATTGTATCAAGCTCTGCTTGATACCATCAAAGGAGCGGTGACATTCAGTGTTCCATAACCATCTCTCGTTCTTTTCAACAAACGAGAGAGATGCACAGTCATCTCGGCGTAATTGCGTGAATACTTATGCAAATACGCCGCTAGCCCAAGAAATTTTCGAAGACCTTTGACATCAACCGGCACAGGCCAGTCGGTGATCGCCTTGATCTTTTCGGGATCAGGACGTACACCGTTCTTACCAACGATGCACCCAAGAAGTGGTATTTCGCTTGCTGCAAATATACACTTCTTGAGGTTTGCATACAATTGATGCTTTCGCATGATTGCAAGAACCTGTCGGACGTGGTACCTGTGAACCTCAACGTCCGACTTTCCATCCATAGCCCGACTATGGATGAAGACGTCATCGAAATAACTCGGCGCGAATTCTCGTACTGGTCTCAACAGATTCGTAACACATCTGTTAAACGTTGCAGGGGCGTTACTTGGCCCCTGTGGCATCGCTCACCACTCCCACAGCACACACCTGGGTGTGCTCACTGCTGTGTTCCGTATGTACCGTTCACGCATGACGATCTGATAGAATCCATCCATCAAATCCATGGACGAAATGATGGTGTCTTTGACATACCATCAATGATTACGTCCTTCCTCGGTATTGGCGTCTGAGCCGGTACCGTTGCAGCGTTCAATTTGTTGAACGCATGCACTATCCACCCCCCCTCCTGTTGCTTTTCGCACACAGAAGGTCGGAGAGCTATGTGGGGATGTTGATTCCCTCAAATGGCCCGCAGCTAAACGATCGGCAAAGAACTTGTCGATCGCAAGTACTTGTTCACGAGGCAGTGGCCACTGCTTCATGACACAGTACTTCGAGCCTGGTTTAAGCTCATTTTCGTGTCGAATACCTTTATCCTTCGGTAATTTGCACGGACAGTTTCAGGGAGTACATCCTTGAATTCAACCAAATCTTCTTAGAGAGGATTTGTCTTGAGCGATTTCCACGATTGGGAGTCATATCGCCCAATTCGTGTCTTTTCATCTAGGACACTCTCGTCCATAGATGAGCTACTGAGAACTCTCTCGTTCTCAGTAAACACTGTGGCTGACCTTATGTCGGCTACACACTCGTCGTCAGCGACGAGTACGCAGATCTGCTTGACTTTACCACTACGCGGATCACGCAAGAACCATTTATGTTCGAGCGTTGGCAACTGAGTGATCTTCGAAGTCGACTTCGGAGGCGCAATCAGATCAATTTTATAAGCGCCTACACTTGATCCGTTATTGACTATGACATTCAATGTCTCTGTCATTTCCTGGGGACATAATCCCTCAGGCCTCGAAGGACTTATTCCTTCGGCTTCCCGGGGACTTATTCCCGCGGGTTTCGGGGAACTTATTTCCGCCGTATCTGTAAAATCGGGACTTATTCCCTTAACTTCCTCTAGCTGGGGTTGCGCAACCACAGCGAGATCCTCTACGAAAGACTCTCCAGTCGATCTAGGATTATCGTTTCGCTTAACCTGAGCGATCGATCGTTTATCTTCTAGATGTTCCCTGCTAGGGATACATCTTTGTACCAGTCCACCCGACTTATTCGAGTGGTGGACCTTCGGCGCAGCCTGTGTTTCCTCACAGCCGCCGGAACTTTGCTCCGAAGTGTAACCGTTTGGTACACTAAGGTTTTGTGCAGTCGTACTAACGACCGTACCACAAGTGAGGCCATCGCACTCACTCGTAGTACATCCACACGCTTGTGGACGCTCCAAGACGTTCATCAGATGGCCATCTGATGAACAAGCGGCAGGCACCGTTACTGTACGATGTTGCCAGTTAACCCGTGGTTCGTACCTTCTGAGCCACGGTATTCCAAGGATGACATCAAATTTGTCATCCAAATTCAATACGATAAAGTCATCGTCATATTGGGTATTTTCTGGCGTATAGTGGACCTTCACTATACGCTTCATGACGGTTACGGATGCGCCTGTCGCAAGACGTACCGTCATCCTCGTAGGAGGTGTGTCACATTCACTGAAATTAAAGTGACCATCTTCTAGCGATTGGCGTCGCACAAAATTGTTGGACGCCCCACAATCGACTAGAGCTCGAAGGGACAACTTATTCGTCACTTCGAGTTTCAAGGTAATGAGTGAGATCTCATTTTTTAGAGCAGCAACACACAACGTTTGTGTGTTGGGAGCAACCTTCATCAAGAGGCCCACAAATTCTCTTGACGTTGCTGGACCAGTAGGGTGCTCCGCACCTACTTATCCTGTCCGTTTTTTGACGGTCCGTCCCGTTGTTGCGTCTTTGCACCAACAGCGGACCCGCTTACCTGCCCCTTTCTCATGGGTGGACGGTCACTACGCCCAGTGTTGCAAGACACTGGACGAGGGGCACTACACTCGTAAGCGTAGTGTCCTGTCTTTTGACATCTATTGCATCTCTGCAACCTCTTGTAGTCTGTAGAGGGAGCCTTCTCGCTCTCTACATAACAGAGTTCCATCGGCTCTGGACCTCCGTTGTCATATCGTCTCGGTTGACGATATGATGTCGGGCTGGCGCGAGCCTGTCTCAGACTGAAGTCTTCCTGTTCCGCAATGGAAATGGCTTGTTCTAGTGAATCTAGTTCAAGTCGGAACAGGTGAGTCTTGACGGGACCATCCGCAAGACCCTGCATGAACACCGAAACCAACGTGTGTTCATCCACCGGATTGGAACTTATACAACTCGTGAGATGTCGTATATGTTGGGCGTAAGCGTGCACATCACGCTTACCCTGTTTGAGCTTCAAGAGTTCGGTTCGAGCCCTGAACTCAGCTCTAGGCGGTTCAAACGTTTGTCTGAGCCGCGACTTGAAGACTTCCAACGACCCAAACGCATATGGGTCGTGCAACTTGAGCTCCAAAGCCCAAGTCTTGGCACGTCCTGCCAGATTTGACTGGGCAAATGCAACTTGCATATCCCCATCGTCGATGCGACGCGCCCTTATGGCGTCATCCAATTCGACAAACCATCTCAGGAGGGAATCCTCTTCGACTCCCCTATACTTGGAGATGTCAATCTTCAAGGTTTCGGGTCGACGCGAGTGCATCGACTCACCAGCAGCAGCCTGCTGCTGTCTCAACAGTTCAAACTGTTGAGCACCCTGTTCTCTCAACAACTCTGCTTGTTGAGAACCTTGTTGGTGAAGCAAGGCTACTTTCTCGCGTTCTGCTTCAAGTTCATTTTGAATGAACTTGGCGATAGTAGCATGTTGGGCATCTCTATTGAGAGCCTCTAGCAATCACTAACAGCATGGATGCCCATGGTTGAACCCATCCGTTTAACCGCATCCCATTCGACATCGCTCAAATAGGAGTAGCCGTCACGCGTAGCGTGAAAGCTTTGGTCATCTTCATCATCCAACATATTCATGTTAGATGTGAACGTGGTCCTTGGACGGACTACGAAGTGCTACCAGGTGTAACGGGGCACCCTGAAGCTTTTACTGGTAACAGTACAAGCTACTTATTCTGATGACAGAATAAGGCGGTGCCTCGGAACTTCACGTACACTCGTACGTGCAGAGGAAGACGGTAAGAAGAAGCGAGTACTTGGTTAAAGTAAAAAGTAGAGCTGTATTTATAATAGTTAATGTCTGCAATAAATCACTATTTATCTTCATCTAACTATGTCTAAATACAAATGTGCAAATCAACTATCTGCTCACCACTCATTGCGTGCGTCTGTCGTGGCGCGTCTTCGTTGGTTGATATAATGGCCTATATCAACCAATTAGGAACTACTCGTAAGTGCTACAGAATATTTGTCCTTATGACAGTATTCTGAGAATATAACTCCTATAGTTATATTCTATTAACAATTTCTTATAAATTGTTATGTAACGATTCACCCCGTTACACATATCCTGTGAAGACATGAATGTCTTCATGACCAGCGCCTGCATCACCAAGTTACACAGGCTGAGTCGCTTCAGCAAGTGATGAGACATCAGTTTGCTGTGGTTTCTGCTTCGTCATCCGCACAGAGACGTGCGGACGCGCTCTCGGCGGCCTTGCTCGCGCATCGCATGGGCTTGTTAACTATGCGATGAATTGTTGGAAAGTGGACTCGGACCAACAAGTGCAAACATTATCCCAAATGATTTGGGACGAGTATCCGTTTAGTCAATCAGTCACTAAAGTGACTGATTGTTAAGGGGGTGATGTAACGGGGTGAATCGTTACATAACAATTTATAAGAAATTGTTAATAGATTACAACAATAAGAGTTGTATTCTCAGAATATTGTCATAAGGACAAATATTCTGTAGCACTTACGAGTAGTTCCTAATTGGTTGATATAGGCCATTATATCAACCAACGAAGACGCGCCACGACAGACGCACGCAATGAGTGGCGAGCAGATATTTGATTTACACATTTGTATTTAGACATAGTTAGATGAAGATAAATAGTGATTTATTAACAGACATTAACTATTATAAATACAGTTCTACTTTTTACTTTAACCAAGTACTCGCTTCTTCTTACCGTCTTCCTCTGCACGTACGAGTGTACGTGAAGTTCCGAGGCACCGCCTTATTCTGTCATCAGAATAAGTAGCTTGTACTGTTACCAGTAAAAGCTTCAGGGTGCCCCGTTACAAGTTGTTCCTACTTGACATAAGACCGATAAGAGTACACTCCTTTTGACCTAGAACATTACTTTTTAGACATTGGGCAACTTCTCTGAGTACAGGATGGTGAAAGAGACCACTAGCGACAAGCGCCGTGGTCACGGTGCATGTGTCATTGTGTAAGCAAAGCCATGTGCTTTCCCCAGTAAGGTGTAGTATACCGCCATGCAGAATATATTATCGGCGTTCGCTCTATCAGGTCGTATCATGGTGACTCGCAATCTGAGCTATCGGTGACAGTCTGTCACGAAACGTTCTTCATGAAGTGCGAGTTCTTCATATGTACGACAAAGTTTCGGACCGATCAGAACTATGCGTGAGTTGTATTTCAATGATGGTCTACTCACGTTTCGACGTAAAAACAACATGGTCACGGTAAGCAGGATGTACGTTGTAACAGGAGCATTCATGGGGTCACATCCACATTGTGGGACTTGACACGACCGAAACGGCCATAAAGCTATAGACTGGGCAATGAACATTTCAGCCTCTTGATACATGCTACTGTATCGACATGACTTTGATGGTCGGCCTTCTGGACAAACCTGCACGGCACTTTTTACGGTTGACATTGGATCGCCAGAGCGTACTTATTTTGCCATCGCGGCATCACTGTCGACATATTTCCTCTGACGCGCCTCACATCCTCAGGTTTTATCACTTGCATATATGTACGACACAGATTCAATGCCTGCTGCTAATACCTTTTCACTACTTCGATGTTTGCACTCGTACCACTGCGCCCTCATTAAAGCAGGGCAAAGCGCAACGGCAGGTCGACACGAGCAAAGCAACCGAAAGTGACAACCATAGTTACGGCTGTCATGTACCAGAATTGGGCGTGGAAATCCTGCAGCATCAGACGCTGTATCCAAAGGCGCGCAGGCATACCGTCGATGAAGCCATTAATACCATCAGCCCGTGCTGTCTTACTCGAGTCCTCCGATGTCGAGCGTAATCGCGACCGCAGCTTGCACGTAAAGATCTCACGGGCGAGGAATGCGCCACCGAGCCGACCAATAAACATGCATACACAGCGCAGCCACAGATTTGTCTGGTCTTGCAGTACAGAGAGCACACTGCCTGGCTTCTCAAACACTGCCAGAAGTGTCAAAAGTGAAGGCACTAGTATAAGTGCTGTCGTATCAGCCATGTTATCCTGCTCCGCCAGCTTCATGAGAAAGTAAAGCGGTCGAAGAGCTTCACTGGTAGATGCCCCCGAACGAAAACCCGCACCGGAGGTGGATGAAGCCGTATCCCCGTGGCTAGACCGCGAAGACCCACTCGTTCGACCGACACACTCTTTGCAAGTTGCATGCGCACGAGAACAGTCACCATGAATCGTCGACATCTTGCATATGCTAGTCTTGCGAGCGGGCGATGCTACATCTGAGGCTAAAGCTTGGGTATCTCGCTGAGCGTTATTTACACTTCGGTCTCGTTCTCGATTCCTGCTGCCTGTTTCTTGCCAAGTCGGCAACTCACCGACACAAGTTTCGTTTTCATCAACTTTCTGTGCCACGACAACTCCATTCAAGCTGTGGCTGACACTCTGGTTGCAAAAGCCCCGCAAATTCCCGTCTTCAAGTAGATCATCGCTTGCCACCATGGCTGCTGCTCCAGCAACGCCACAGTTTAGTCCCAAAAGTTCCCGTTGCTGCGATGACGTTCTATGCAGGAAGCACCTTGAAACATCACACGCTGAGGTCGTTGAGCGCAAGCAAGACGAAAGTGGGGACGTGATGTTAGCATGCAAAGGCACGCCCAGCCAGACTGAAGTGGTGCGCTTGAAATCCGTGTAGACGCCTGTGTTGAGAAAGGCAATATGGATGTTGTTCAAGAACAACATACCCCAGTACAGCGCGTCGATGGGTGTGTCCGAGCCTACTAGGATGTACCAGAAAATGTAGTAGTAGAGCTGTCCCACGTACAGCAGCGATGGATGCGCGAACGGTTCCGACATGCTGTTCACCACATTCGTGATCACAAAGAAGTAGCCTTGCATTAGCAAAAGGTAGAACACCGAAACTGCCAGCTTGAGCCACGACTCACTGCTGGTCACCGACGAAGCTGAGGAGTCTTCAGCAAGCGCGAACAGCCGCACGCATAGGTGTCCGAGAAACAGCGGAACATGCACAACCAATGTGCTATACACTACTGCATGTTCAAAGCTGAAGCGAACTCTCACGACACGAGCGCAGAAGAGCACAATGCACAAAATAGGTGACAGCAAGTCCAGCAGAAACCACGATCGCGATGAAGCCTCCCCCCCGCGGACCGAGCTGTACAGCGAGAACATGACGATCCACAGGACCACCGCACAAAAGCCACACCCATAGAGCAATCTCGTCACTGGCTGTCCCTCTCGTTGCATCTGGTCATGATTAGACTGTCGAGAAGTCTTGTTTTCACTCTGGCCTCCCACCAACTGTCGCAAAGTCTCGTGGTCACTCTGTACTCCACCCGATCGCTGCCTCACAAGTGATTCCTTTACCATCATCCTCATCATCATCTGTTCCGAGTTGCCATCCACTCGCAAATTCAAAGACGACGCCGATGGCGACAACAACAAATCTCCTTGTGTCTGCTGTATAGCCCCGGCTTTCTCCTCCTCCGCTCCATCTATTTCTTGAGCAGCACAGTGCATCTGTCTCTGGTCTTGCTCTTCTTGCTCGAGCACAAGATCCTCATACTGTGATCGAGCTGTTCTTCTTTGCATACCAAAGAACAGCGGCACGGCTCCAAGTGCGACAATACCAAACAACGTGTTGCCCACAATCCACGAGATCCTGCTCGCAGGCACACTCATGTACCACTCGACGAGACTGATCGCCCCACTGATGAGAGCCAAGTAGCGCCACATTGTCGCTTGTCCTCCTCCTTCTCCCTCGAGCGCTGCAAAGCGAAACACGACCACGAACGGACACGTGACGAGCATTAAATTGCAGAAGTACCACACAGGATTGACGACCAGCGAGTAGACGAGGTGGCCAAATTGGCCGGCAATACAGAGCAACGTAAGCAGCACGAGCGACACGAGCGGGAAAGTTGCGCGCCAGAGCAGGAGGTTCCACTCGCTTTGAGTTGCTGGACCCTGACGGAACTTTTCCAGCAACTCAAGCGTCGCATGGGACTGTCGTTGGGCTCGGCGGGGGCCTGCAGTAACAAAACGCCACAAGCTGTAGCAAGGTAAGGACGAAGACGACGAGGACGACGCGGATGAGAGGGCACTGGGTAAGCTGCTGCTGCTGCTAGTGCTGGACCTGTGCACGAGCTTCAAGGTGCAGTAGGTGAGAAGCGCGACGCAGTTGTGCCACAAGCGCGACAAGGCGCCGCTCGCCATGAGGTCGAGACGATGGAGCGAAACGAGGAGATGGCCGAGTCGGCTCCTTTCTATGTCAGTACATGATTTAAGTATTGACTTTTAGGTCATGACGATGGGAGAAATTGGTCCTCTTTTGATACCCAAAAGAGACAGCGATTTAGAAATGAGGAAGAGCGGGTCGAGCGAGCTAATTTGGAATAAATTACCACTCAGTTTTCTAATTCGGTGACCCTGGTACGTGCAACAGCAGAAATTTGCCAACCCGGGACATGGAATACACGTTCCAAGCTCTTCCTTCTAAGGCGAAGCTTCAGGAGTGACGTGTGACATGATGCATGCCGAGACTGTCGATTTGACGCTGAAGGCCAAACTTGACTAAACTACTGTAATGGGGTAGCCAGTTACATGATATTGACACCAACGGTGTCAATAGGGATATCGTCTAGCATGACAAGATTCGACCAATATTATCCGAGCTATATAAAATTAAATGAATATTATCCCCTTGTAGAACAATTTTCGTGCGCTGCTCGAAAATTGATTGATATAAGACATATCAACCAAGATTACCACCGATCGATGCTAGAAGCGTAATGAGTAGTGAGCAGGTGTCGTCATACGACAATGTTGATTAATACAGTTACATAAAGATTAAAGTTATACTGAAAGCTTAACTGTATTAAATACAGCTCTCTTTTTACCTTCACTTGACCGAGTCGTTCAAGTAGATTAGCTTCCTCTGCACGTGCTAGTGTACGAGAAGTTTCGTGGCGCCCCAAACAAAGGGTGCCCCGTTACACCTGGTAGCACTTTGTAGTCCGTTCAACGACTACTTAGTGTCCGCCCAACAGGAACATGAAGGACGTAGAAGACGACAGCTTTCACGACACACGTGAAGGCTACTCCCATCTGAGTGACTCAGAATGAGAGATAGTCGGCTGCATGAGTGTGCTCATGGACGATCCCGCCATCAGTGGTATGTTGGAGTCTCTAAGCAGAGACCAGCAACATGCTGCTATCAACAAGTTCCTACGTGGGGACTTGCCGTCGAACGACAGAAGATAGCCTTGCTACAGCAGCAAGGCTCTCATCAGTCGATGGGCGGGCCGAAGCATATGCGTCGACCCGAAACCTTGAAGATAGATATACCAAGGTACAAGGGAACCGATGAAGTGGGATTCCCTTTTGAGATGGTTCGTGTAGTTAGACGATGCCATCAGGGCCCGTCACATCGAGGGTGACAAAATGCAAGTCATCTTCGCCCTGTCAAATTTGACGGGACTAGCAAAGACTTGGGCATTAGAGCTCAAGCTTCACGACCCAAACGTGTTGAGTCGTTAGCGACCTTGAAGTCTCGGCTTAAAGAAACGTTTGAGCCACCAAGAGCCGAGTTCAGAGCACGATCTGCACTCCTGAGGCCCAAGCAAGGTAAGCGTAATGTGCACGCGTATGCACAACACCTACGCTACCTTGAGAGTAGCGTCACGAAAACCCTGTTGATGAGCACACGCTCGTCAACGTGTTCATCTACGGACTTGTAGATGGACCGGTGAAGACGTACATGTTCCTGGAGGACTTCCATACGCTGGAAAAGGCGATAGCGTATGCGGAACAAGAAGCCTTCAGCCTGAGACAGTCTTAGGCTAACTCGTTAAACCATCGTCCGACGTGACGACAGGAAACAGGAGGTCCCGAACCAATGGACCCTGTTACATCGAGAGCGAGAACTCTCGCTCTCCGAGTCACAAGCAAACGGCAAGATGCTATCGCCGTTAGACGATCGGACACTACGCTCATGAGTGTAGTTTCCCAAGCACCACATCAAGTTCAAATACAGGACGTGATGACCGCCGTGTTGGCCGAGGAAAGGTCCAAGGCGTGGGTCCGACCATGTTGCTAAGTCGCGACAGCAAGTCGGACCGTAAAAAACGGTCAGGGGCAGTAGGGGCAGAGCACCCTGCTTTTCCAGCAACGTCAAGAGAATTTACAGGACTCTTGACGAAGATTGCTCCCAACACACAGTCGCTGTGTGTTACTGCCCCTAGTGATGAGGAGTCCCTCATCACTTTGAAGATCGAAGTGACAAGTGAAATGCCACTTCACGCCCTAGTTGATGGTGGGGCGTCGAACAGTTGTATTCGACGCCAGTCGCTAGAAGATAGCAGACTCAGCTATTTTGAGTGAGAGTTCCCTCCAATGAGGATAAAGTTGTGTTTTGCTACAGGCATCATAACGGTGAACAAACGTGTAGTGGGAATCCACTACACGCTAGAAGGAAGGCAGTGCGATGATGACTTCATCGTACTGGATTTGAATGACAAATTTGATGTCAACCTCGTTCTGCCATGGCTTAGAAAATACCCGTCATGGATCAGCTGGCAGCATCGAGCCGTGAAGATTCCTGCCGTTTGTTCATCAGATGAGCATCTGATGAACGTCTTGGAGCGTCCACAAGCGTGTGGATGTACTACGCGTGAGTGCGATAGCCTCACTTGTGGTACGGTCGTTAGTACGACTGCACAAGATAACAGTGTAGAAAGTCACTACACGGTGGAACCATCTTCCGGTACTTGTGTAGAGACACAGGCTACGCCGAAGTTTCACCACTCGAAAAGATCGGGTGGACTGGATCATGGATGCACACCAAGAAGGGTGCATCCAAGAAGAGAGATTAGTGTTGTTGAGGATGAACAACACGTTGAAGCGACATAAAATTATAGAGAGTCGATCGTAAAGCAAACACGATCGACTGAAAGATAGTCGATCGAAGAGGACGTGAATGTGATAGTGCACCCACATTCAGAACACGTATTGGAAGAAAGTTCCAGCGTTCCTGAGAGTGTAGAGGGTGTAGATCCCCAACCACCTGCGAGTTTGTTTTCCCAGGAAAGCTTGGAGACAGTAAATGTCTTGGTGAATGACGGATCAAATGTAGGCGCTTATACACTTGATCTAGTTACACCCCCCAAGTCAGCTTCGGGAGTAATCAAGTAGCCAGGGCTAGAATCTGAAAGATTCTTGCGAGATCTGCGTAGTGACAACATCAAGCAGATCTGCGCACTCGTCACAGAGGACGAGTACGTCGCCGATATTCGTTCGGCACAAGTGTTTACTGAGAACGGAAGGGTTCTCAGTAGCTCATCGATGGAAAAGAGTGTACTCGATGAGAAGACCCGTATTGAGCGATACACGTCTCAATCTTGGGAGTCTTTGAAGACAAATCCTTTGCATAAGGATTTGGTTGAAATCAGGGATGTTTTCCAGGAATCCGTGCCATGTGAGCTGCCCAAGGACAAAGGCACTCGGCATGCGATCGAAATGAAACCTGGTTCGAAATACTGTGTCATGAAGCAGTGACCCCTGCGTCATGAACAGGTACCAGCGATCGATAAATTTTTTGCCGATCGTATAGCGGCTGGTAATGTGAGGGAATCAACATCCCCACACAGCTCTCCGGCTTTCTGTGTGTGAAAGGCAACAGGAGGGTGGCGGATAGTGCACGCTTTTAACAAGTTGAACGCTGCAGCGGTACCGGCTCAAACGCTGATACCAAGGAAGGACGTCATCATTGATGGTATGGCAAAAAGTAACATCTTTTCGTCCATGGATCTTATGGATGGATTCTATCAGATCCTCATGCGTGAACGGGGCATCCCTTACATAGCAGTGAGCACCCTCAGTGGTATGCTATGGAAGTGGATAGTGATGCCACAAGGGCTAAGTAACGCCCCCGCAACGTTCAAAGGATGTGTCATGAATCGGTTGCGATCGTTGCAAGGCTTCGCCCCGAGTTACTTTGACGGTTTCTTTGTCCATAACCGGGCTATGGATGAAAAGACGGACGTGGATGTTCACAGAATTTACGTTCGTCAAATTCTTCAACTTATGCGAGAGCATAAGTTGTTCACGAACCTCAAGAAGTGTATATTCGCAGTGAACGAAATACCACTTCTTGTCTGCATCGTGGGTAAATAACGGCGTGCGACCTGACCCGGAAAAGATCCAGACGATCACCGAATGTCCTGTGCCGATCGATGTCAAGGGACTTCGAAAGGTCCTTGGCTTAGCGGCGTACTTGCACAAGTACTAGGGCGATTACACCGAGATGACCGTTCATCTCTCTCTTCTGTTAAAGAAATTGAGAGGTGGTCATGGAGTGCTGAGTGTCAGCACTCCTTTGAAGGTATCAAGAAAAGCTTGATACTATCGCCTGTGTTGGCGATTGCAGACCAAGACAGACCATTCTACGTGGTCTGTGACGCCCAATCGGCTGCGCGTTGATGCAGTACGACTCAGACAGTTTTGAGCGCATCGGGTCTGTTATCAATCGCGTCAGCAGCAAGCAGTTAAGCGTAATTATCCGGTTCATGACAAGGAAGTCCTTGCCATGAAATATTCATTGGCTACGTTTCGGGTGTGTCTCTTAGGAAATAGGCCCTTCATCGTTGATACCGACCATGCGTCCTCACGCACGGCCGTAAACAGTCCACACCTCTCGCAACGAATAGCGAGGTGGCTGTCTTTCTTCGCGGAGTACAACTTCTCCGTCGAGTACAAACCAGGACGATTTAATGTCGTCGCTGATGCTCTTCGCGTCGGCCCGACTTCGAGCCGACTGCTCCACCCAACGGTACGGGTAATTCCACTGTTGCAACACTATCAGTGAGTGTTACGTCATCGAATCGGCTCGATGACGTGCGGAAAGCAGCATTAAGCACGGCCGTAAACAGTCCACGTATCTCGCAACGAATGGCGAGGTGGATGCCTTTCTTCGCGGAGTACAACTTCTCCGTCGAGTACAAACCAGGACGATGCAGACTCAAAAGATGAGTCTCTGCAATTCCTAATTACGTATCTAAGCCATGCAGTCAAGCTTTGAAAATCCTGTCGTCTCAATACCGCTCCTCAACCGAACGATATTCGGTTCTTGATGGAATGCTGTACTATACAGCAGTCAACGGCGACACACCTCGTGTCGTCTTTCGCGCTCATGATGATTTGCGATTGTGTATATTGTA